AAAAATAACTAGCTTTGGTGTATAAGTTGCAGGGCATGCAAATTATGCAAAAAAACTACGACTTACAGGCCGAAAAATACGGTACTTCACTGGGCTGCAACTTTTACGAACGGTGTTCGAGTGTTCAAAATGTTTGGAAATGTTTGCGGGGGTTCTTGATTTCTTTGCCTCAGTCGCTGACGCTCGCTGTCCTGTCGCTCGATTTATAAACGTGTTCAAATAAATTTGTGCAACAAATTTTCTCTCAAAATATTTGCAGAGTTGTCATGGCAACTCAAACTTTTATCATTTTATTTTGTAACTTTGAACGTGCTAGAGCTATAATTTGTCACCTGCACAGGAGTTCTTATGACAGAAAATGTCTGAGGCTACAGCTACAAATGACAAGAGGCGGGACTTAAAAACTGCACCACAGCCAGCCACTGGGGGGCGCATGTGTTTAGTGGTTTCAACTTCAGGCTCCCAGTCCTCTCTCTAATTATAGTATATCACAATGGATAATACCCTTAGCAGAGGGACTGTTTCAGTTTGAGCATGGTTGAGAGGAATGTTCTACCTTCATGGACCATCTCCTGCATCATTAAGTTTCCTAAAAAGTTGTCACCTTTACCTTTATCCTCTATTACATCATTCTATTATCCACTTCCTGTTTAGGAGAATGGGAAGTGTAAGAAGATAGAGAAAATGTTAAACTGCATATGGATGTTATGTAACTTCCTTTGCATCTAACCAATGGACTTCCACAGCTTTTTTCCTGACGTAAATCCTACAGCTAAACCTCTCACTCTGGATTAATACTTTCTGCAACAATGCAGCTAATGGCCTTAGAGCACACAGTCTGATCTGCGATTAAAAAAAACGATAAAAGTCAAAAAGTTACCGCAAGCTTAACAGCTTAGAGGCATTAAAACATCAAATTGATTAAAAAAGGTACCAGGTATAACAACAGATCACTAAAGGTGATGGTGGATGGCAGGAACACTTCCAAGTTCTAGTAAACTACAGTCGTGGTATTGTATTAAGATATAACAAGAACGGCAACAAGTCTGGTTAATTCATCCCTCGACCAAATTGGGCCCTAATTTCAAACTACTCATTTCTAACCAGTGTACTTGCAGTAGGCATGTTTCCCCACTCTGCATTTTTGGTTAAACGCACCAGCTCAAGGTGAACTGGCACAGGATCAAATTGGGATTTTTATGTACTGCACGTATCCCCGACGTCTGCAGAGGCACCAGCTCCACATTGGGGCATGCAAAATGGCTCAATCCAAGTATGTAAACTAGATTGCGGGTAAAGAGGATGGATAGATGGATATTTGAAGCAGATGGGGCTAGTATGAAATACCTACAAAGCACAACCTAGCCTTCTTTAATTCAGTGAATTAAAATGTGCCTAAACATTTAAACTTACAGCAGCTACTGGGTTTGATTTAGTTTAGTCTCAAGATAAAATGTATGCATTGGCAAGTTTACAGAGCCAATAGAGGCTGTGCATACCTATCACTTAAAACAGTTTTCATGATTTTTACACATCTAATTGCAGTCAGATAGAAGTAAATATAGATCTGAATTTCCTCAATGTGCACGGAAAAGGTTTTCTCTCAGACCACCTTTGGAAGAGACCTCGACCCTTCAAACCTCCATCTTCTACTGCTTATCTGCAGTCGGATTGCAGAGGCAACAGGTCCAGGAGAGGAACATAAACTTCTCTCTTCCCAGCAACACTATAGCTCCTACCAGGGAACCCCAAGGCGTTCACAGACCAGAGAAGATACACAATGCCTCCAGAGAGTTCTGAGTCTGCCATGACATCTCCTACCAGTGAGACGTGCCTTGAAAACCTCCAAACTGACTCCTTTCGATGCAGAGGAGCAGCAGCTGTACTCCAAGCTTGGAGCTCCTCACCCTTTCACCGAGGCTGAGCTCCCGCACCCTATGAAGGACGCTCATTTAAGCCGTTTGTATCCAGGATCTTGTTCTTTTGGTCGTGATCCAAATCGCATGACCACAGGTGAGGTGAGGGTTGGAACGTAGACAGACCAGTAAATTGAGAGCTATGTCTTTTGGCTTAATTCTTTCTTCACCACGAGCAACCAAAGCAACGCCCTCATTATTGAGGACGAGACCCTGATCCGTCGATTGATCTACACCTCCATCCTACCACCACTCGGAAACAAGACACACCAGACACCTGAACTTCTCCACCTGAGCCAAAGACTCCCCCCTGACCTGAAGGGGGCATTCCACCCATTTTTGGTTGGACCTCCACTTGGTCTGGACCCGTTTTATCCAAATATATAATAAACACAATCTGTCCTGATACTCAATGTAGGACGTCATACTAAACTCACGTGACCCCAAACAAAAGAAAACTACAAAGTCCCCTCAACTGGCAGCTGGTTAAAGATAATTAACAGAGATCCTCAGGGACATTCTGAAGATACAGCAGGTTTTTTTTTTTCTTTTATTAATTAAAGTGGATTACCATGTATTAGATGCGAGTTTCTTTTTGATTTAACGTTTGTTCTGGTTGTTGTGAACACTGTAAGCTGATGCTAAATTCACAGAAAAGCTGTTTAAAACAGACAGTCCTGTGTGTGATGTGGTTGTGTGTATATCTGTAATACAGCAGGGCTATTCAACTGGTGGCCCGGGGGCCAAATCAGGCCCACTGGTGAGCTAAGTTCGGTCCACCAATGGGTTCATTTTTAAATAAAACTAGATTTTAAACTGCAAAACAAACTTAAATAATGACATTAACTGCTGGATGTTTGGCCCCTGAGCTCTTGGCTTTCAGTAACTGTGCCCCCCTGAGCAATTTAGTTGAATAGCCCTGATATACAGCATGCAATGATTCCTGGCAGGGTGGGGGGTGGGATGGAGACACATCTGTGTTGTGTGTTGCGTGCTGTTTGTCCTGATAGTTGTCGACCGGTGGGGTAAAGGAAACAGCTCAGCGTGAGAGAAGCAGAGAGCTACCTCTGTAGCTTTTTAGCTAGCATGTACTGTGTGTATCGCGTGCAGATAGCTTAGCACTACATTAGTGCTGACAGTTGTCGATAGGTGGGGGGGTGACATTTCGGTTCGTTAGGCAGGACACTCGGTTCTCTTGACCGGGCGGGACGCCCTCCTTGTTTAATGGTAGGGGAAACACTGAGCATAGATAAATGATCAAATGTTTTGGGGTCTGTATTTTAAACAAACAAACAAAAAGTTAAGAAACTGGTGCTCCCAGAGCAGCAGTATTGGTTGATTTACCTATAAATAGGGAGTACATGGTTGTTTTTAAGACAAACAATTTAACTCCATATAACAACGAGTAAGCACTTTTCAGTTGAACCTTGAAGATATTTAGCCTATGCGCAAACGTTTTAGCCACAACCCTGCCGTGACCTCTGCAAACCTGAATGGAAACGAGCACAGGTGAAGCTGAGGATGGAAATACCTCTGATGGCTTCTGTCAAATATTGCAGCAACTCAGCAGTTTCTCAGCTGCCTTTGCCTTTCCTCTAATGGGAGGAACGCAGCGTTCACAGCTCTTATTTACTCTCCGTACGCCCCGTCTTCCTGCTCCCCGCTGAACATCCTCTTCCTTCCCCTCCTCTCTCTTTTCCCTGATAATCTACAGCCTGGCACAAACTTCCCCATGAATAATTGAAATGAATGGCACCTCATTAGGAATTCATACGTCTTAGCCTAGAGAGAAAAGCGTGAGATAACGCACAGAAATTGATAAAGCGCTGAAAGGACTCGGGTAAAGTAACGAGTATTTGTGTGTGTGAGGGGGATAAAACCAGCTGCCGGTTCAGGTCTGGTTCCAGCTGAGGGAACTGCAGCAGATACAGTCTGAGTGCACTCTGTAGGGGAGCTTCCCACTTTCCCACTAATAACTCTTAAATAGCAACACTTAATCTGGTCCTGTTTGACTGAACACCAACTGTGTGCGTTTGTGTGACTCATCTAATCTTTTAGATTTTCTTCAGCTCCCAATTAAATCCCTTCAACGACTTCGCCGCTGCTGTGCGGTGACATATCATAAACCACGAGGGTGTTTGTGCAGCCGCCCACCTCCAGCTCCTGCTCCCTCTGCAGGGCGAACTGTTTGAATGACTTGACGATGATTCCAGCGTTGGAGCAGTCGTAAACGAAAATGGACGGGCTCCCCATCCACGTCTGCAGGTCGTAGATGGACAGTGGGATGTACTGGGTGTAGTTCTGCAAAAAAGACCAAGATAGTGCATTGTGATACTGCTGATCAGTCACTTTTAGAAATTTTTTTAGTGTTTAATTATTAACCATGCATCTGTTGGGTAAAAAGTACTGGTGGAAGATGGGAGATAATGTGGAAAAGAGGAGGTAAAGTGAGAAAACAGGACCATAAACGCTCTACAGCACTTTCAAGGCCTGAAGAATTCAGTTACCCACAAGTTTTCTCACATTAAATCTAGACGGATGTGCATCATTACAGGACTGAGCTCTCTTACTCCTAAAGACAGCAAACCACTCAGAATCTTGTTTCCAACATGTCAGAGTCAATTTGAATACTGGAAAAACTGGAACTTAAAAACTGTAGCCGGTGTGTTTTTACATCATAGAAGTGGAAGTAGAAGTTCAGGATTTGTTTTTTCTCAGCTACTCTAAATTGACTTTAAAGCATCAAAAATCAATTGATATTTATTTAAAATAAATATCCTGCTGACACAAATACAGATCTCTCTGCATTTGAAAGTATTTCAGCCTCTTAAGAAATTAAAATGAACTACTTATATAGGGCTTTTCCATCTTATCAAGATACTTGAACCTCTTTACAACACAATCTGTGTCCTCATTTACCCATCCATACAGCACTCTACTACATCTATACAAATCAGAGCTTTTTCACATTCAAACACCGATGGGACACAGATCGGAGGCAATGAGGGGTTCAGTGTCTTGCCCAGGGGTACATCGACATGTGACTGCTGGTGACTTTGAGCCCCAAACTCTTGCATTCAAGGACGACTGCTCAACCACAGCCGCCCCATTCTTGTCTCTCATGGAAGCTTTGCCCAAAACTGAGATCTTACCCCCTGTCTCCTCCTGGAGTCTCTTGATTGTGGTGCCCTGAGGGTCCAAAAGTTTTCCAACAAAGCTGACCCTTGGATACTGCTTGGTTGGAATGAGCACATGTTCTTTGAGTTTCAGGTTCTTGGTGGCAAACAGGTCGGGGTAGGTCTCTTTATCCGATTCAGGGTCTTTTTTAGTTTCACCTTTCTGGATCCTCTCAATCTCTGCCATGATAAGCTTCATGGCGTGAGTGAACGATGAATCCAGGCTGTCCGTCTCAGCCAGCAGCTCTGAGAGGTATTTGGCGTCTTCCATTTTGATTTTCTACTGCTGAGCTCCACTATGGTGGACTCAAGAGTTGCGCCTATTAGCAATCAATTTATTTGACACTGGCCATGGCGATTGGTTCTACGAACGATAACCTGCTCTAGTGTTTTTGGTTAAACAAAAAAATCAAAAATTGGTGGACAAAGCAGCAACAGTGATGGAATAGGGAGTAGCGATCCCGGCCGGTGTCTTTCTCCACGTCAATGTCTGTGCTTTGCTTGGCAGATAACAACAGTACCACATACAGAACATTATACGCCCATTGACAATGTATCGTACAGCAATCTATAGCAATGACCCGAACAGGCAAAGACCTTGTATAACCGTTTATCTTGATTTTTGACCTTGACCTTAAAGGTAAAGTAATGAAAAGAGTGTGCATTATGATGTCTGGAGCTGGTACAAAGTTCTGTTAAATTATTTTGAGTGGATCAGAAGTTATGGGCAGGACAAGAGAAAATGTTCGTACTGATGGAGACTATAACATAATACATCTGCCTTCGATGGGCGTACGAAAATGACAAGAGCCACAGTGTTTGCAGTTTGTGTACATGCTTCCACCTGGAAACAGAAGAAGAAAGAGCCGGAGCTACTTGCTGACAACTGAGTATCGAGCAAGAAACATCCCAGTTTCCTTCTAACTCTGAAAAAAACAAGTGTCTAACAAAGTTCATTAGATTTTTGTTTTACTGAGAAAACTTGGAACGCAGTAGTTACGAAGCAGAGCTTGAGCGCGGTTTATCATTTTGAAGCCATGACGGAAAACAAAGAGGACCCAAAAATGGTGAAGAACGCAGGTCAGACAGCTCCAACGTGATGCTCCATCTGCTTTCAGCAGTTTGACTCGTTTTGTTCATTACGATTCGAAAATCCTGTTCGAATGAAATCTGTTTTATAATGCAGTTTAGAGCAAAATATTTAGTTGCTTTTTGTTTGTTTGTTTTTTAAAGACCTGGGAGATTTCATATTTTCATATATTGAAAACAAACCGGCTCTAATTTAAGAGTGCAGCTTTGAGTTTTAACCTCTGTGGAGGTGTTCACTGGCTCATCTTGTAGTTATATGTCCACTGTAGGTTTACAGCAGTGATCTGATTATTTCTCTTATTTTTAAATACATTTACATTTTCTGTGTGGCCTGCATCATGTCGACAACAATTAGGACTTTGTAGGGATTACCTTGTTAAAAACCCAGATTTCTCCGTTGACGGTGGGTCGTGGCACCCCGTGGCCGTTGTAGTGGAAGAGAACCCGCTCCTCCTTAGCGTTGCGTCTCAGCGACGTGCACAGTTTCTTCACTTCGTCCACTGTAGGGTCCAGACTCTGCTTGTAGCGAGCCTGAAACCACAGAAATAAAGACAGACAAGAATATTTCAACACAACTGACAGAAACAAGAGAACCACACACGCATTAAACGTTCATCAGCAAACTATTTTACATTAATCTGTAGCAACGGTCCGGACAAAAAAAGATAAAGTTTGACCTTGATTTGTGATCTTGACCTTGGAGCCAGGGTCATGAAAATTGCACCACACACTCTGACAAAAAATGATGCATGTGTGTATCAAGTTAAATTCTTTAAATTTCTTCTCTAAATTTTGAATCTTTGGTTTTTGTAATAATCTCAGACAACTAATCGCCTATGTTTTAATAAGTCCCAAAAAGTAAAACAAGCAGTGAAGTTAAAGCTGCTTGTAGTGGCTCATTCAGGTCACCATGGTAACCATATACACCTGTGTCTGTCGCTCTCTGGCAACACTCTTAATACAGCAGGCAGACAGAAAAAGAGCAGAAAGTAAGGTTATTTTTTTTGTGTCTGTAATGTTTTATGTAAAAAAAGCCTCATCACTTCCTGTTTTAAACAGAAAATTCAGAGCTCACATATAAAAGAAGTCAGTGGGAGTTGAGCCTGTCACGATAACAAATTTTGCTGGGCGATTGTCTCAAATTGTTGTGATAAATAATATTGTTTGAAATTTGACCATAATTAGTAATTATGGTCAAATTTAAGAAGAAATGTTAATTTGTTTTGAGTGTAGTACCTTTTTTTACCACTGGATGGCAGTATAAGACCGTTTGAATCAAAGGATGGATAGTGAGGGAGCGAGTAGCGCTTCTCTAAGAAAAATGGGAGTGAGGCCCCTTGACGTGACATGGGCTGTCTCTCCTTCCTTTTTTCGGTTCTCAAAATGGCAGACGCTCGGTGTGGTTTGAGCTCTTTAGCATAGCATTTTTACACAAAGCTTTTAATAAAAAATTTTAAATATCAGAAAACAAGTTCTCAGCTTCTTTTTGCAGAGAAAAATAACTTTTTACATGAAGACACAAGTTTCAACCGTGAATTTTGTAACTTCGACATGACGGAGGTTGTTCCCGAGTCGGCCTGTTAGCTTAGCTCGTAGCTTAGCTTCTCAGCTTAGCTGCTTTTAACGATCCAAAAACGCGATTTTGGACGATTAAAACAGATTTAAAAGAGAAAGGGAGGGGTCAGTGAAGACCGGAGTTGAGCCTTTTGTCATCCAGTGTCTTCAGTAGAAAGAGAGAGAGATGAAGAAACAATAAAGCCGATAAATGAAAATGAGGTTGCTCATTTTCATCTATCATGCGATTAATTGGTTTATCGTGACAGGCCTAATGGGAGCTTGGGTGAGCGCAATTTGTATTTAAGGGAGACTAAAAAAAAGTCTGTCCAATAACAAAGAAAGATGAATTGGGTGACAAAAGACAAAACACCTACATTTTGAAACGAGATTGCACAAATTTTGAAAAGTGTGTGACGTTGCACAGCAAGTTGATATTTCTGATGTAAAATTTTCAAAAATCATAAAACTGAAACTGCGACTGTTAAAATAAACAAAAACATCAAAATACCAGTTCATAAAAGTCCAATGTTCTTATAACGTTTTAACTTTTCAAAAATGTTTCCATCTGTCTGAGCTGTAGATCTGCTAACGGGGCTGATTTTTTTAAAACTCATTTTACACCGTTGTATTAAGGATGTTTTAATGCCTAATACACCCCCCCCCACCCCCAAAATTCTGGAAACTTCTTGCCATTTTAAAAATGATTGCTTTTTGAGATCAAGGTCGTGACTAAAATAGACCCTCAAATATCAGGACTCTGACTATAAAGCAGAAAAATAGATTTTGTTGTGGCGTTTGTGGCTTCTCTGCTGTCAGCTTTTCTTTTCGCCACCTGTTGTTTACTTCGTCTGCCTCTTCACTCATCTCCGAGGTTTCATAAGCATGAGGCTCGTATCTGTGCGTGCACGGTGTGAGCGAACCAGGAGAGACTTTGGAGTCGGAGACGGAGGATTCGTGCGTTTTTGGTGCTTCTTGGTTTTATTAAACAAAGTGCCTGCTTGTGCGAAGATGAAAGTGACACCGAGGTGCCGGCTTGTTACGCAACAGAAAAGCTCTGTTTATACGAGTCTGAATCATTATCATACTCACCGAAGCCTTTTTGTTACATAACCACGGCTTTCAACAAACAGCCTGCCTGCTGAAAAATCACAAAGGAAATTTGAAGTTTTTCTTAAACAAAGCGGCTGCAGTCGCACTTTCCCTACATATTTATAAGCAACATGGGCTACAGAGCTACTTATAGCATCTCCACTTCGTTAGCAACTTCATTGGATGTTTTCCTTTTGCGCTAATAACAGCAAAATAAACTTTTCTTTAGTTCCTTGGGTCATTCCGGGACAAAACACCAACCATCTCAGATTTTAATTCATTTTAATTTTGATGCATTTTATGGTTTATTTCAGCTGATACGAATTTTTAGAATCAAAATTGCTATTAAACAAAAAAATTATTGCCCCTCTGAAACTTTCATATGTTTAAGATAACAAGTTGGGGGGGGGGGGGGGGGGTTAATTTAAGGAAAGGTCACCTGGAGGTCAGGTGATCAACAAAAGTCAATTTCAAGGTCATAGGAACATAAACAAAACAAAAAATAAAGATGGCTTTGGAGTAGTGGTGCAAAGGTTAGAGAAGGTGGGCCTGTGATCAGAAGGTTGCCGGTTCGACTTCCTGGACTGTCAACATCAAAATAAGGGTGGAGAAGGTAAAACACCTACACCTGCCTCCACCCTCGTTTGTGCCACTCTGGGCCCTTAAGGCCCTTAACCCCCATCATCTGTGCCAAACAGGTCTCTCTTGAAAATGAGTCCTCGTGAGTCAATGAGACTTCTTGTATAAATAAAGATTAAATAAAAAAATCCTTGTTAAACTCCCTTTCCAATGACACAGTTTGTGAAAATTGACCTAGTGTTCCTGAAATAATTGGGCTTGAAGATGGTTGATTTGGGAAGGGGGGGGGGGGGGGGTATCTCTGGAACCACTGGTCCAATTGACTCGAGATTTGAGATACAGTAGTCCCTAAGTAGCGATAAGTGAAAACCTGCCAAGTAGGAATAGTAGTCCAAGTAGTGAGTCGTGGTTTATCATACTTGCAATATTCTAAACAATGTTTCTAAACTCTAAAGCTATAAAAGAGCACAGAATGTCATGATCTCAGCTCCTCTGCTCTTTGACACCTGCAAGCGCTCTTGGCCACGCCCACTTCTCAGCTCTGCACGGAGAACAGCTGATCAGCTGCAGCAGGAAGCTTATCCAGCAGTATGAGCTGCACAAGGGTGCAGGAGGAGTTCTGGGCTGGAAAAATGTGTAGCAGGTACTAAATAATTTAAAATAATTTATTTTAAATAAAAATTCCATGTTGATCGTGCGGCTCATCCATCAATCAGCCAATTGTGCCATGGCCAGTCTTACTTTGAAGAACCGCAATAGAGCGAATCCGCGATAAACGAACCGCAAAGGACTACTGTGCTGTGGAATCATAATCAACAAATATGACAAGGGTACAGGTAGGCAACAAAAAATGTGCATAACCGAGAATACGGTTGTGCAACAAGTATACACTAAAACAGGCTGTGATTTTCAAATGCTGACTTAACAAAACAGTTGCACTGTCTGCCAGTCTGCTTGCATACACTTAAAATTCAGTAAGACTACAACTTAAAATGTTCTTTCCTTTTTGAGTCACCAACTGGTCTTCCAACAGTCTCAGCCCACTGAGATACAACCCAAAACACTAAAACATGACATAAAAAGAACATTTCAAGTTGTCCAGCAACAACCTCTTGACAGAATCTGGTTGCCCACAATTTTTACAATAAACAAGGCAAAAAATCTAACGGAAAAAATGTAATTTATTAAGTATATTGCACTATATACAAAGTTTCATATGTACAAACGTTCTCAGTCAGCCATCTTGTGGACTGCTAGGAGCTCCTGAGAGGCAAAGATTGGACGGCTTTAAAAAGACCACATCAGAACACGTCACCCCCCCAACCACACACACACACCCACCCTTCATTTTTACAGAAGATGGAAATCCATGCAGGAAACGGAGAACTTTATTCCATGTCTGTTTCACTTGGTTGTCTGCTGGACAAGCTCTAGGTGAGATCTGGTTGTCCAAAGTGAATACAGTTTATATTGGACAACCAGAAATAACCCTGAAAACATCCAAATATGAACTGAAAAATATTTACTATTAATAGTTAATTTCATGGTATTCTTAATGTTTTACTACTTTGTTTAAAAACATAAAATATATAATTTTTCTGCCATACTACATAACTTGAATTAACAGTATATAATGTTCATGTTGGCATTAAAAAAGTATACTAATGGATTAAAAATTGTAATTTTAATTGTAATTGGCCCTCCCTAAAAGAAGAGTTCTTTAAATTGTTTTAAATTATATTACATACAATGTTAGACATTATTGTTTATTAATACCTACAATTAGGCCTGTCACGATAACATTCTGTTGGGCGATTGTCTCAGAAATGATTGCGATAAACAATAATATTGTTTGAAATTTCACAATAATTAGTAAATATTGTCAAATTTAAGAAGAAATGTTGGTTAATGTGTTTTGTGTGTAGTACCTTTTTAGACCACCAGGTGGCAGTATAAGACTGTTTGAACCGAAGGATGGCTAGTAAGAGAGCGAGAAGCATGTCTCTAAGAAAAATGGGAGGGAGGCTCCTTGACGTGACATGGGCTGTCTCTCTTAGGTTCTCAAAATGGCATTCACAACTTTTTACTGGATGGCACAGGTTTCAACCGTGAATTTTGGAGCTTCGACAAGACAAAAGTTTTTTCCCCGAGGTCAGCCTGTTAGCTTAGCTCGTAGCTTAGCTTCTCTGCTCAACTGCTTTTAGCGATACAAAAACGCGATTTTGGACGATTAAAACAGATTTTAAAAAGAAAAAAGAAAGGGAGGGGTCAGTAAAGAGCACCGGAGCCTTTTGTCATCCAGTGTC